GAAAGTCTCTTTTGATCTTTAATGAGCTTTCCACTGGGTTCTAAGCAACTTCTGTAGGTATTGTCTAAGCTATAGAATGAGAGTGCAATGATTAAGTATGTCTCTGTTTTTAATTTAAAGCCTAGGATGAGCTCTGTCCAGTCTCTTTCATGTTCTGGGAGTTAATGCAAAATAATCATAGACTCAGAATAATTTGGTTTGGAAGGATCTTTGGAGGTCATCTGGTCCGAACACAACTCAAAGCAGAGCGAACTTAAATCAGGTCGCTCAGCACCTTGTCCGGTGGAGTTTTGAATACCATGGATGGTTTTGAATCCTATGGATGGAAACATCCTTGAAGGAACCATGAACAGGGAAATAGGAAAGCTGTTAACTCGTATCACCTTGTTTACCAAAAGCCTGTGGTCTGTTGCAGCTATCGATGTCACGTACTTGCTGGAGGAGGGATCGGGAAGAAAACTGAGGCGGCGCACTCTCACCATCCCGGAGAGCAGCTTCAGGAAGTGATGCCACGAGAGGAAGCTGTGGTCTGGAGTCTGCTACAAGGTCTGCTGAGGACTGAGGGCAGGAGCCCAACTTCCTCTGCACCAGCCAAGGAAAAGAGGGCAGCAGAAAACTGACAAATATACAAACAGTTAGCACTTAGATGTCTGGGTTGGCAGGTTGCCCTGCCCTGCTCTGCAGTGCTCTTATGGTGTGTGTGTTGTTGGGCGTGCCTTGTATTGATGTTAGGTACTGAGAAAAACCTCGTGGTTATTGTCCAGGATGGTCAAATTTAATTTATTTTTGCTTGATATTCCCACTCAGAGGAAAAATTTAAAAAAAAATATATATATATAAAAAATGGGGAGGTAAGAAGGATAAGGACTAACGTACTCTGGTGAGAATACTCCCTACGTTCACCAATTAACCTGTGATTGTACAAGATACTGTTGGCACCACCGTGGCCCATGGCAGTGAATGAAATCCAGACAGGAGGGTGAAGGCCCAGTGGCTTAAAATTAAAGGCTGCCCTAAAGTTGCGGCCTCTGATTTGCACAAGTTCCAAGAAGAGAGAAAACGTACCCAAACATGCGAAAGGTTCACCGTGGAACAGCCAGTGCACACATGTACCTTTGATCTGTGACAAGGAGAAACTTCCACAGTCACCTTGGAGCAAAGCAGGAGTTGGCTGGTTGAGGCACTTGTTCTGCGTTGTAGAGGGGGGAGGGAGTGGGGTGTGATTTTTTTCACTTTTTTCTGCAGAGAAATTTTATAAAGCAAGTCAAATCCTGACAACACCATTGCTGTTGGTTTTTTTGATAAGCTGTGGTTCTTGTGTGTCTAGTGTGTTGTGCAAATTAAAATCTGTTAAAAGAAAAAGGAAAAAAAAAAAAGGAAACCTTCACTACATGAACCGTCAAGCAGTATTCAGAGCGAGTATTTGTTGTGAACTGTAGAATATATCAACTGCTAACACTATTCTTGTGTTCTGGTTGTACAGCTTAAAATGTCCGTCTCTTAAATTAAGAGACAGTGTATCTCGCACCGCCCTCTCTCTCTGCCCTGACGAAAAGTATTATTCCTGAAAGCAACAGCCGAGGCACTGATTTCTCACGGCGTGAAATTGCGATTGCCACAACGTACCACAAAGCAGTGCTGCAGCAGGACTCCCTGTTCTGTGCCCGCCGACCTTCCCGGCGTGCGGAGCTGCAAAGCTGTCGCCTGTCTCTGGGCCAGGGCCGGGCTGGGGCAAGGGGAGGGGGTGGTCGGCATATGCTGCCCCTTTAAAATGGCTTTGCTTTTTTGTCTTTCAGACGTACATATGCATATACAGTCCTGTTTTAGATGTTCTTATAAGAAAACCAGTTTTTAATGTGCCAAGTTGTATATATCTGCTGCGTGGATGTAAAGCAATACAGTAGTTTCATGTTCCTTTTTAATGGACCAAGCTTGTCCTAATGTACATTCTTGTTATTATTATAATTAATTTTACTCTTAGTGGAACATGACTCATTCCATTAACTTTTATGTGTTGATTTAAAAAGAAAAAAAAAGAAAGGAAAAAAACCCTTTGAGAAAAAATATTTTATTAAAAAAAAAAAGAAATAAGAAAATAGTTTGGAATATTTTCTTACTGTAGAGAAGCACTGTACAGTACCAGGAACCCTGAGTATAAAATACTCATGCGTGTAGTAGGAATATCGCATGTCCAAAATCTTGAGTTGTCTCATTTAGTTTAAAACAGAAATCATTGTCTCAAATGGTGTTAAACACTAAAAAGTTTTTAAAAAATAAAGTGCGTACAGAAGCGAGACACTAGCTCTGTCATTTTATCTTTCTTTTGTTGAAAGACTAAACAAACTGTTTTTTAGACAATCAAATGTTAGGTAAGTGCAAAGAATTGTTTTTCTTACTGGTGTAGAAATTAATGACTTTTTTTATTTTTCGGTTATTTTATAATAATGAGAAGACCAGTGTGTCACCAGGATCGCTGTTTTAAGACCAGGAAGCACTACATTATTGCAAATAGATATGAACTCTTAGTCTGCATGGGTGTAGGCTGTGTGATTGCTGAAAATAAATGCTGCTAATATATTTCCTTTTTACAAAGCATATCTAAATAGATCATTGTTTTGATGTTAATCTTTGTAAATTATGTATTACCAATTTTAACATTGGATGTAATTGCATAAAAAGCCTGCATCTCAATCCTGAGAGAGTCTAGTATTAAATGGAAAATCTTTTCCTATCAACGACTTGTGGAGTTTTCTTTGACACGCCTTTAATTTTCTTTTTTTTGCCTCTGTTTCAAATGCTCCTGTTGTGTTCTGACTCTCTTACAGCCTCTTTTATGGGGGTTGTTGGCCTGTCTCTTTCAAATATCCAGTTGCCTGGTGGGTGACGGTGTTTTGTGAGGGTGTGATCTGCTGCTGGTGGTTCTCCGGGTGAGGAGGGGTGATGGCCGCGTCCGTACGGCGAGACGGAAGCATCAGCACAGACGTCACTGCTCGGTAGGCAGAGGCCGTGTGACCATGACTGGATGTAACGGCAGGTGGGTACATGAACTGTTAACCTCTGCGAATTTAGTGCCTGTTCCCAGAATATAAACCCCTGGTACCTGGAGATGGTTCCCCCGCGCCCACGTAGACGGCAGCCGTGGTTCTGTCAGCATCATTGCTGCATCTCACGGTGGCAGCGCACGCACTGACCCTGCTGATACTAGAGCAGAGTGTCAGACAAATGACATGGGCACGTTCCCCTCCAGGACCAAAAAGGCGGGTCAGCTAGAACGGCCGAGACGTGTGTTGAGTTTTTGGGAGCTGTCGGCCCCATCACATACCGTCATCCTGCCCTGTGCCCCTTGACACCGAGGAACACACGAGTTGAGAATTTTGTGTCCTTTCACATCAGCCTTTAGAAAGGCTTTGTCAACCTCCCATTTCCCCTGCTCCCCTGTCAAGCTTGGCACTAATGAGATAGATACTCTCCTCACAAATTCTTCAGGGTTTAAACTTCTGGTTCAAAAGTGGTTTCTGGGCATAAGTTTGGTAACTATTTGCATTACTCAGGAATGAAACAGCCCTCCTGTAATGAATGATGCCCCTCTTTTAAGGTAATTTGATTTTTCTTTTTCCATGCCATGTGGTCATCAAAATGCTGTGCTTGCCTTCCTTTTAACCTCGAACCACCACGCCAAGGATTGGAGCAGGTTTTTTTATTTAAAAAAAAAAGTTGAAAAAGTACCTGGATTCATCTCCTTCTGGCTTGACCCCATTTTAAAGTCCCGAGGCAGCTGCAGAATTCAGTCAATCAAATCAAACCTACTTAAGGCAAGCCCAATCTCATTCTAATTAAGATAGATAACAACATCTCTTGTCTGAAAGTAAAAATTCCAGAGAAAGCAGAATGAGAACAGAATTTATCTTCAAAGCGGAACACAGCCCATGGGCTGCTCTCCTTTGCTACCGAGACAGTGGAAGTTAGTTAGGAGAATGAAAAGTGGTTCTTGGTCCACAGGAGCGAGCACTGGCCCCAACGCTGCCCCTCAGACAAGCTGCTATCGCCTTGTGGCCCTTTGCTGTGCTCCAGTCTAGCCCCGTCTCGCTCTTACTTAGGGAGCCCAGTGCAGAAGGGCCGTAGTTTGGTATGAAATCCCAAGCAACAAGAAAAAATTGACCAAAATAAAAGCCATCCAGCCCCTATTGAAATCCTGTGAGTCAATAAAAAGATTAGCTCAGTAAATAAATAAACCAACCACCCTAAACCCTTACCAGTGCTGGGCAGCTCCCTGCCGCAGGGCTGGTACCAGTGACACATCCTTCACCGGATTATTTCTGGCTCTGGCTGCAGCCGCCTCTTCCTACACTGCAGGACACAGGGCACGTTCTGCCAGGACACGGCGCCGTGGTCAGGATCCGACCTTGGTACACTGAGCACCAGCACAGCCTGCGCTGGCTTTGACCATGCAGGGACCAGCCCCAGGGCCAGTTCCAGCCCCCCTTAGCTGCAAGGACCCCTTCACACATGCGGACACGTGAGTCACAACCTTTATTTCCATCTTTTTTTCCCCTGGAATAAGCTCATTCCTGTGGTTACAATTATTTACAGAGTGCTGGGACTGCACAGCGGTGGCCTAGGCCACCGGCCATGGGGCAAAGCAGGGCACGTGGAGGCGGCAGTGGTGGCAGGACACAACACCACAAAGACAACATACAGGACTGGGAGCACCGTTCCCTCCCCCGGCACAGGCATGGGCAGCAGCTGAGTGAAAACCGGTCCCAAACAGGGGCCCCAGTGAAGTGCCAGCAGATCTGCAGGGGACCAGCAGCCCTGGCAGCCGGTAACTTCATGTGAACAAGCAGCAGCAACAGGCACCAGGGCAAGGTCCCCTGCAGAACTACCAGCCCTGAAGGTAGCGAAGCCCCGACGGTGGTGAAGGCAGGGCAGGAGCGGGTCCTTCCGGGAGGTGGCATCTGCTTCGGCAAGCTCAGCTGCTTCCTCAGGTCTGCTCCACCTCCTCACAGAATTAGGGATGTGTAACCGACAGGAACTAGGCCAGTGCTGTTGCCATGGCAGCAGTGGATCCAGTCTTCATCCACGGTGGAGAGCAGCTGCAGGATGTCCCCCTTCTGGAAGCTCAGGTGACCTTCGGCAGCACCTATGTGGTCACACAGTGCTCGAACTGCCCTGCACAACAAACACCATCAGGGATTCATCTCCCTAGGAACCCCCAGTACTACTGAGAGAAGCTCCCACAGGAATTGGGAGAGGTTCTGACACTCATGTGCGCAGCCAGTGACCCCCCCCTCCTCAGGCAGAGACTGCCATCTGACAGTGGGCTTGATCGAGAAGCCACATCACAAAACGGTCCTGCCACGCAGACGCTTGGAGCAGCAGCAGAGCGCGAGCAGCGCTTGTGCAGACATGGAGGAGAGACCTAGGTCAGGGCCAGCAAGGACTGCAGAGGAGGGAAGACAACTGAACACGGTGCGGGACGGCCACTCGCCCTCCGCGCTTACTTGGACAGATGCTGTGCAAGCACAAAAGGACCACTACAGCTTTTCTGGCCTGCCACAGTTTGGTCAGAGCTGACAGGTAGTTGCCCCAAACAAGCTGCACAGAAATCCAGAAAGCACACAAGAGAAAGAAAATGCTCAGAATTCCCCCCAAAAAAGTCTGGGAAGGACAACTGATCACAGCTAGGTAGACTCACAGGTTCACCAAAGCTCAGCGGGAGAGGGGCAGGAGAAGGGCAGGGAATCCCCAGGGGAGCAGTCAAGATGCAAGGAGTGGTGTAAACCTCTCCCTAGAAAGGCGTGGAGGATATCCAGGCTATGCCTGGAAACAGCCTCTGCGTCCCCTGCTCCCAGAAGTCCACCACCAGCTTTCCAGCCCCAAACACCACAGTGCGCTGCATCACCTGTGGGTCTGGGGCACGTCAGATGTGTTCCTCTCTGGCTGTTCTTGATCATGGGTCTTCTCAGATGCTAGGCCCTTCATCACCACTGCCAGGACACGTGCGCCGGGAGACAGCCAACTAGAGGGTCTCCTGCCATAAAGCAAAGGAAGCCACAAGCTTGTCTGGGAAGCCTTTTCCCACAGCATCCTGCTCAGAAAACTATTCTGGTGATCTGGGAGCTGACAAGGGTTCTAACAAGCACAACTGAGCCTCCACCAGGAGCTCCTGCCACTCTAAAGGACCAAGGCAATGTGATGCCAGCAGCACTTGGGACATGTGCTAATCACCCAGCAGCACAACCTGGATAACGGGCAGCACAAGACACCCCACAAGGCCGGCAAGCCCCATGGTGTGCTCTCCGTACACTGTCTGGGAGAAAAACTCTTCCTCAGCCGCCCCCACCTTGCCTGCCCAAGCTGGGTCTTACCTGGACCTAGCCGAGACGGTGTCAGGACTGGGAGGGAAGCTCCTGGCAGAGGGATTGGTGGCTCCAAAGAGCCGGCCCAGCCAGCTGCCCTTGTCAGGACCAGAAAGACCACCAGCCTCTGGGACAGAGGGGGCTGCCCGGTTCCTATTCGCACAGGGCTCTGGGAAAGCAGGCAGGAGTTTCTCTCCAGCAGTGGGATCATCTGGCTTGGCAGGTGCTCCAGCAGGCAGGATGAGGTCTTCAGGGGAAGAGGTCCCAGAGGTGTCAGCGCTGCTGTTGAGCTTTGGACCAGAGAGTTCAGGGACAGCTTTGGTCTGAAGGAGCTGCAGCTCCGTGCCTCTAGGCTCATTCACGGATATGTGGGGTCGCACAGCCTGGCTGGGGCTGGAATCCCCCACAGCCATCCACAGCTTCGTCCACCAGATGAAGGGGAACTTTTCCTTGCTAGGAGCAGTGTAAATCCTGGAGGCCTGGCTCAGCTGGCCCCACCAGCCACTGAGGCCAGCCCCAGTGTCCCCAGGGCTTGCCTCAGGCCTGTGGGTCTCCAGGGAGCTGCCAGCTCCCAAGAAAGCGTGACTGAGCTGGTCACCCCACCGCAGCACGTGCTGGAACGTCTGCTGCAGGGAAGCCCCCACCTGGAGGCCAGGGACCAGACCACGCACAGCTGCCCGGGACTGGAACCTTGTGCTGCTCTCTGCACCAGCTGCCCTCCCCAGAGTATCAGGGGGGATCTCATCTTCCAGGCTTGCCCCTGCAGCACTGCTTTGGCCCTCCAGAGAAGGCTGCATAGCCCCCTGAGCGTTGTGATGGGCAGGAGACAAAGGTGACTCCAGCTGACGGGACAAGGGCCTTACATCCACAGAGAGGTGGTGGTGTTCGAAGAGCAGGTCAAGGTGGAAAGTAAGCACTGAGAGCGGTTGGATGAGCAGCAGCAGTTCATCAGCGAGGTGGCGAAGAGGGCCTTGGCTCAGGGCAAAGAAGGCCATGGGTGAATACAACATGGAGATTACACCTGCAAGACATGGACAGCACTGGACAACCACAAAAGGCCATGCCCTTGCTCACACATGCCTCCCAGGGCCAGCCAGTCCATCCTAGCAGGTCAAAATGAGGCTCCAAATTGCCTGCCTGACTGCCATCATCCAACACAACAGCCATGGAAAATGATGCCTTTTTCCACTACAGAAATCCCAGCCAAGCATTTTGGGTGGGACAGGTATGGGATTATCACCCTGGCCAAATAGGAGAGGACTTGGGTGGGTAGCTTCTGCACACTGTGTCCTTACCTGGGCTCTTCTGCAGGTGAGAGATCCACAGCTCCAGCTGCTTAATGCTAAACAAGACAAAGGGAACCCAAGCTGGAACTCTTGGGACTCTGCTCCAACCTGCCTTCACAGCAAGGACAGCCTGGGCTATCAAGGGCCAATACTCACTTCAGAAGGCCAAGGATAAAGGCATGAAACTTCTGTCTGGTGCTGTTGAGAGGGGCCAGAGCAGCTACGTGCCAGCACAGAGAGTGAAGAGCACGGGTGTTGGGGCCTGTGGAATACACAACACAGACAGACACTGCTCTGGGGGGCACATCCTCCCCCAGCCCAGGCTGGAAAAGGTCTCCAGGCACCTTGAGATGCTGATCCCAACATCTTCAGTATCATGTTCCTCACACCAACCTGTCTTCACGGAGGCTTCCACCACGCTCCAGGGGGAATTTTTCCTCTGGCCTGTGATGACATCCTTCTGGAAGGGCTTCAGCCCATCCTCCACCAAGGCATAGAGCGCAGGGCAGAGGGTGTGCAGCAGCAGGTAACCCACATCTGGGCTGAGCCAGCTGTCTCCCAGCTGGGCCTGAAGTAGGGAGGCACAAGGAGAGGAGAGGGAGGGGAACAGCAGCACCTAACCCCGAGCCTGCAGGGAGGGATGGTGGGATCCTCCCCCTGGGGCTCCCCAAAGATCCTCCTGCCCAAAGCCTGCATGGCCTGCCCTCACTCGAGCCCACCCCAGCCCGGTCAGAGCCACAACCCAGAACCTCACCTTCTGTACCAGGTTCCGTGCAGTGCTGAAGTGGGCAATAATCTTATCCACGGCAGTGCTGACAGCTATCAGCAGGGCTGTCAAACAATGGAAAGGAAGATGTCAGCAAGGCACCAGACCCCCACCACCACCGCAGCGCCTGCCTCAGCCCACTGGCGTCACACCGGCCACGGCTGCAAGGAGAAGCATCAAGGCCTGGAGGAGCCGGGGAGCAGCGGGCGGGCGCCAGGAAGGCCCAGGGTAACAGAGCATCCCAGGCTGTTGCCATGGGAACCCGTAGCTCTCGGGTGCAGGGATGAAGGACCGCCGTTTCCACGGGGACGAGGCCAGGAGGCAGCGTGGGCAGGAGACCCTCAAGGTGTTTGCAAGATGCCGCGGACGCCCCACCCCTGTCCTGCGGCTCGACAGCACCATCTGCCGAGGGGCGGGCAGGGCAGGTTTCCACGGGGACGAGGCCAGGAGGCAGCGTGGGCAGGAGACCCTCAAGGTGTTTGCAAGATGCCGCGGACGCCCCACCCCTGTCCTGCGGCTCGACAGCACCATCTGCCGAGGGGCGGGCAGGGCAG